TTTTCAGGTCCTGAAGACGACGATTCAGTCGAAACGTTGACCAATAAAACGGTTCAGCCATAACAAACCTGTATGGCAAAGCTGTTCATCTAATCAAAAAGGTCGACATAGCACGAATTAATACTATACATACTACTCGCAATTAGTATCGTATTGCCTTGAAACTTTCTTGTAATAAACGAATGCAATGCATAGGCGAGTCCGATACCCTCAACATTTTTGGCTATACACCGGCGTACAACGTGCAAATGTGGGGTATCTACTTTGAAATCCGGCTTGCTCTTCGCTCATTGCCATGTCCAAGTTTCTGACTCTGCAATTCAGGATTATTTCAAGCATCGTTGCCCTATTTCTCCACGCTGCAGGAGCCCTCTTCCAGAGCACAAACGCGCCAACAGCGCTCTAATAGGAGTACGCTTGCTTACAGCTTTTCAGGCCGTACGTTATCACAGTCTGCAGGGCTGTGATTTTCTCAAACTTGATCTGTTTTATTTCATTTTCCACTTCCTCACGCATAGAGTCGCGGACCGGTTCTTCTCCTACAGTTTTACAGACTTCTGCTACACCTTCGAAAGATACAAATCGGCAAAGAAGTTCGTTTATATTTCGTTCTTCCGTAGCCGATTACTTGTCCTAACACCCGTATTATGTTCGCGAGCAGAGGGTGCTGTGCTCAAGATACTTGTCCTAGCGGTAGTCAAGCGAAACTTCCCTGGGAGAAGGAACTGGCAACATGTTCAAAACAAATGGGGTCGGTTTAAGTATAAACGCAGAGGTGGTCTCATACGTTATTTCTTGCGATATCTAGTCTCCACGGCTCACTATTCTCGAGGTCAAGCTGAAGGAGGTCCTTTCCACAGCTCGTGGATAACTGCATGCTTGTTTTCTTTGCATCGAGTCCAAAATTCTGAAGCATGAGATCAGGAAATACCACATAATCTAAAATAAGGGCGCATAGTCCCTCCTTGGTGTTGTTCACCCTTTATACAGTATTGCGACTGAGTGAATTTAGGATGCCAAGGGAACGACAACAACTTCGAAACCGTGTTGGATTGCCAAAATTTCTGCAAAAACGCTATCCGTGAGCCCTTTTTCTATCCTTTCCTAAAGTGTTTGGTCTAATTTTTGAGCGTTGCAGCTGAACCGAAGTGCATACAAGGACAAGCGTACCGCAATCAATTCGGAGACTTCACCACCTGTTCACCGGGTGTAGGCTGCCCGTCCAACCACGAGTGCTATTTCGACGGAGAGCAGTGGGGATGTTGTCCCACAAAAGGTAGGGCGTCTCTCGAGAGTGTATTCCGTATGTGTTTGCTTGATTCAACTCCAATGTTACAGCTTTCACCTGCTCACTAAACGCTGATCCGGGAGTGCAGTGCGGTGCTGGATCAACTTTTCGATATTTTTACAACGCTCAGACTCAAAATTGCGAGACTTTTCAATATAATGGATGCGACGGAAACTCGAATAACTTCGCAAACCGGGAGCAATGCGAACAACATTGCAGCGTTGGAGGTAGGCCATGTTGCTGTATTCATGCACGAGGACTGCAAATCCCAGCGCAATAGCCACTAGTTTCGGTCACCAACAAATATGTTTCAAGCAACGCCCTGCCGTCAAAGTAATATACAGCGCCTTTCATACGGGGAAGGATTTCCCTAATTTTCTTAGGATGCTTTCGCTCGCTTTATCAGTTTGGAACGCGATGCTCAGTCAAAATTGTACTGTCAGTTGAAAATCGGGCCTGCTGGCACAACAGTCGAGCATGATGGTTATTTGGCACAGATGATTCACTGTGTTAACGTTGACCGAATGCAATCGGTACATTCTTATGCATTTTCCGAAGCTACTGAATGGCGTATGCTTTCTTCGCGGTGCAGTAAGGGATGAACAAGCTCTCGCTATATGCTACCACAAGAGAACTGGGCCCTAGAAGCGCTACAGGCTTAGCTGGGCAATCGGGAGTTTATAACCGTAACTGCTACCGCTACTGTCACGTTATAGCCACAATTCCTGTGTGGAGAATCTCCCTGTGGCTACAGTCTTCTGTAAAATCAGATCTGGGTGCTATCCACAGTCGTTTCGGAACCATAAAATCGGAGTATCGCGGTTGTGGAGCGGTTATCCACACTGACAGAAGGGATTGATTCCCTCAGCGAAACTCGGAACACGTGTTGAAACCAATATCAATACGAAAGATGAAATCGCAAGTGACGGTTCACCTACATCTGAACACTCATAATCACGCTAGTTGATTGTTTAATGAATGAATTTGGTTGAACCTCCCTTCAAGTTATGGACCAGTGATATTTAGCAACATTTCTGAGAGCGAGACTTTCAGACTTTCTTCGTTTTCTAGGTCAATCTATTCATAGAAGTGCTCTCTTCCAAACATGCTCACTTTGCAAGTTTTTCAGGATGTCCGTATGGTGGGACACCGCTTCGAGACCATTCAGGCATGCTCACAGTCTGTTCTAGCCAAGAAAACTGTCCAAACTCCTACGAATGCAGTCCAGTGATCGTGGGAACGGGTTCGATCAATCGTTGCTGTCCTACAAGAGGTTGGTGTACACCGTCTGTATGGAAGCAACATTGAGTGAGAGGTTTAATTACACTGCGTTTCATAAATATAGGGCCACCCTAAATTTTTGCAGTTCCAAGCTTGCAGCGCACTTTTGTGGAAATGCTGCCATAACCAATAGATTCCTCATAACGGAAAACCTTGATACAAATTTTATGAAGAAATTTCACGTTAGAATTGGTGAAATAATTTCCTTGGAAGGTATTCTCACCTTTTCATGGGTATGACTACTCATTCTTTAACGAAAAAATTTATTACAACCGAATGGATGATACATCTTCTTAATGATGGGTTGGTCGTCAATTATTCGCAAGGACTCCACCAATGCGTCTTGGTATGCTCTCGACCAAGCTAGCTATCAAAGTGGGACCCAAATTGTCCAAGCGTCGAGGATGGATAGTTTGAACTCTTCGACTGTGTTGTACTGCTCTGCTTCGTCGTAGATCCTCTTGACAGGGAAGGCTCAGACATTCTCAATTGGATTCAAGTCGGGAGAACATGCAGGCCACTCGAGAACTGTGATATTTCTTCCTGCAATCCAATCCGAAGTGGATCGACTGACATAAACAGCCGTGTTATCGTGTATAAAAATCAATGAACGACGATGGTGTTTTGAAGAAATGGTAAAAGTCGCTCCTCCAGCACTCTCTGGTATTCTACGAATTCATATGACAGGAAACAAAAGCATGTCCAAGCTGTCCAGCCACACAAAAGGCGCCCCAAACCATGAGAGATCCTCCACCAAAATAACGTCGCTCCAAAACCAAGAGTGCTTTGCGCAGATCCTTTCAGAACCCTCTTCTACTGTCAGATTAAATCTAGATTAAACTTTTTTTCGTCGCTTCAGGTTACCTAAAACGCAAAATAAAGATGTGGAGTCAAAGACTGCAAAGTGTCGTAATAGCCGCACCTTCGTCCAACCGAATGAAACATTTTTCACGGCAAATTGGAAGCCTCGACTTTGTGTTGCTCCGATAGTCTTGGGACCCTCCTCATCAACTCTCCGGTGATGCTTTCGCTCCGCTGGGTTACCCTCCAGACAGTGGTTTTGCTCACACGAAGCCGCATTTTACGCGGACCCTGTTAAGGCTCTTCGCTGAATTTGACCAAACACGTCCAATTTCTTTTTCATCTGGGGAAGCAGCCGTGGTTGACCTGAGCTATTCTTCTTGCCGTACTGGTCAGGATTCCGCAGGTATTCGTTTATGCACTTGCGTGACCGACCAATATGGGTGGCAATCCTCCTTCTCGGCCATCCGGCTTCGAACAGTGCTCTGACTTGTACTTGTTCCTGGTTAGAG